TATGGATGATATGAAACTCTACATATACAACTCCATTCGCAGAGAAGATTGCGATACCCTTATCATGGAGAACGTGAAGGCCTATGTCGAGATTCTCCCCATTTTCCTTCGTTTGGTGAAGTTTTCGAGGAATGGAGTGGCCTGGAACGGCAATATTGAGGTGGTTATGGTTGAGAATCTTCCACAGCAGCACAACAGGTACGATATATGAATTTGAGAGTTGATTTTGCCATTTAAATGATTTACGATGCACTATTATTAATATTATTATTATTATTATTCTCTTTTAATAAATTCTGACTGTTTTATATTTATTATATTTTCGTCAGTGATTGCGGGGTATTCGTTGCATCGTATGCCGAACATTTCATTTCGGGTAAGGAGATCAATGAGAAGTTTGATGTCACTTCTTTTAGGGAGAGATATGCATATTTGCTCTACACGCATGGCCGAATGAAACAAACTCAAGGATGCGATAGTGACGATGAATCCCCTGGTAGTGTCCCCGATGAAGTTCGAGTTAGTCTTTTGCAGGGTTAATCTTTTGAATGTGAGGAAAACATCATAGACATTTTTTAAGTATTTTTCTGATTGATGATTTCTGATGAATGTGATTGAAGTTGGGAAATTTTTGGACTTATATTCTAGTTCATGTTGGTATATTTTGGTAAATGTGATGGGATTTGGGCAAACATCTAAATTATATTCTGTGATATTTCTAGTATATTAATTGTACTTTTTTTGTATTTGTGGTACTTTATATATTTCTATTATATTTCTAGTCAATTAGTTGTACTAATTGGTATTACTGGTACTTTAAAATCTGTCTGTTTTTTTATCCTTCCAACATGGATATTTTTTTTTTGTTTGCCATGTGTGTGGTATATGTTGGTATATGTGTATTATATGTTTATTGACAAAGCACAGACATTTTATTAACAAAGGACAAACATTTTATTAACTTGCATCTATTGAGACATTTTATATGGTAACAGGCATTTTTATGTGTGGTATATGTTGGTATATGTGCATTATCTGTGTGTTCTTACTCTCTCAGTCTCTCAATGATGTTTTATTATGTACAATGGTATATCTAACTTATAGTGTGTTATATTTTAAATTATAGTAATGATACCTTATGTTATTTCCTGTTATATTCCAGGTATATATTACCTTATATTACAGCTATTGCGTAAAAAAATCTATTTTTCTGGTATATTCCAGGTATATTTTTTTTCCCCACAATCATATACAATATGCTAGCAAAGAAAATTAAATTTCTGACAAAAAACAGCATAATAGATGTTTAAACATCTAATTAAATTTTATAAAAATATATGAAAAATCATTACTGTTATTGGACTCTCATCTTTTCGAATTCCTACAAGTTTTCACATTGTGCCCTTTCTCATGACATTTGCTGCATCTATTTTTTGACCTATGCTCCCACCCTGACTTTACCCGCTGCTTGCGTGGTCGCCCGGGCCTAACACTTGCAATGGGGGGATTTACCAATGTTTGGTTAGATGGTGCTTCAAACGTGAATGCTATATTACCTTCAATTGGTATAACAGCATCTTCGTAAGTTGCCAACATAGTGGAGTTTAGGTAGTACAAAGAACAGAAATGGACCGGATCCATGTGGAGTGACCTTATAACACGTATAGCGTGCGGGCAGGGCAGCTCATCAACTTGAAAGCGGTGGCATGTGCAGGACTTAGACTCTATGTCTACTATAAATGCCTTGCCTTCAGATATCACTTTATACACTTTCTCACTAGCTTTCTGTACCTGTTACACATATTAGTATATGTAGAGTAATTTATGGGTTTATATCAGGTAATAAGAATCACAAAAAAAAAAAAAAAAAAAAAAAAAATCAACGAAAAAAAAAAAAAAATACTTACTGAATATCTTGCAGCTATTTTGTAATTAGTTTCCAACATACTATGTGGCTTCTTTGCAAGTGGAGTAAAAGTGCCCTTGGCTTCATCTCGATTAGCCACATTCCATCTCTGTTGCATGTCCCTTAGCGCCTCTAGCAATGTTGTTATCGGTAGGTCACGAACGGATCCGATGGCAGCATTTATTGATTCAGCGGCATTAGATGTCATGGTAAAGTATCTATTATTGGGACAGTGAACTCTTGCCCACTTGTGAAAGCCAATTTTTTCAAGATGTGTTACGACACTTGAATTCAACTTCATTATTTGAGACATATGCATATCGAACTCCTCTGTGGTATATGCCCTTGCTGCTGCATAAAATTCCTCTTTCACGGCTTGTGACTCAGTCTTATAATGCATCTTCAAATTATTTGAGATGTGATATGTGCAAAGACAATGCGCCGCATTAGGGAATACCTATATAAATAAGAGATGATTGTTTATTGTATGTAATAGTAAATATATGTTTATAACAACAAACTCAGGAACAAATTAAATAGTATATATACCAGAATATATAACTAAATAAACTCCTGAAAAAATGCCACGGTATATATAACATAATATATAACCAAATATCAATGAAATATACTATCATAATATGTCTGAATATCTCCTTCAAAAAACATGACAGAGTGTATATACATGAATATATAACTAAATATATCTGAAATATACTGACTATCAGAATATCACTTAAAACTCACTGAAAAATGAAACAATATATATACCAGAATATATAACTAAATATAACTGAAATATACTATCACCTGTTCTACGGCGTGTTTTATGCTTTCATGACCATCTGAAACAATGCAAAGACCATCCCTCTCACCAACAACAGCTTGCAATTTTGTGAAAAACCACACGTAGGAGTGGTTATTTTCCGAGTCAACAATGCTAAATGCAAGCGGTAAAATGTGAGAATTTGCATCTTGACAACATGCTGTTAACAAAAGTCCTCCGTACGCCGAAGTAAAAAATGTACCATCAACAATGACAATTGGCCGACAATGGGGCCATCCTTTAACAGATGCCCCGAGTGACATGAAGACGTACAAGAAATTCTGATCCAAAGTGGTGCTCACCTTAAAAATGCTTCCCGGGTTTGATTCACGTACCTTCAAAAGATATTGATGAACGTAATTGTACGATTCATCAACTTTGCCACGTACTTCATCAATAGCTTTCCGTTTTGACCTCCACGCTTTTTGGTACGTCAAGTTTATCCCATATTGACTTTGCATGTCGTCAATGATATCAAGGGGATTATATGCAGTCTTCGTGTTCGTGAATTTCAACTTGATAAAATCACTAACAACGGTTGAGGTCGCCTGTCTCTGGTTACTTGTTCGAACATCCAACGCACAATTATGTTCAGTCCTGACGCCCCTTATCTTAAACGTGTTTGATGTACCGAGACGTGATGCTTTCACAAACCATGAACAATCACTCGATACACACCTATATAAATAAGAGCGGATTGTTTATTGAATGTAATTGTAAGTATATATATATAACAGAAATGACAGAATATATAATGACAAAGTATATATAACGGAATATATAACTATATATCACTGAAATATCACCAGATAGAGTTATATTTTACCTTACATATACCATTTATATACTCTGAGAAAAATTATATTACATGTTATAACGCATATATACAATAAATATAAGACATGAACAAATGTATACTTTATATATACCCTGTGCAAACTTATACATACCATACATATGCCATGTGCAAACATCATTTCAACCTCAACAAAAAACAAAACAATAAACGAAATAATTTTTACATTATATATACCATATTATATACGCTGTTCAAAATATAACCGAAACCTTATGAAAAAACGCCACAGTATATGTACCAGAATATATAACTAAATATCACTGGAATATACTAAATAAAATATAACCATTGAAGACGCCTGAAAAAAAAGAACGACACACTAAAAGTTTGCAAAAATGATACACACCTTACATAGTACTGCCGGGAGCAAGACTTCTCCACCTTGAATTGATACTGATGCTTTATAGCATCCATTGTCAACAATTTCTGCAACTTCTTTTTATCCTTTATCAAACGACCCGCAACAATTCGAGAGTCAACATTTTGTTCGAATGTCAACCCCATACCACTATCAGGGTTTATGTTAAGCATATTCTCGGTATATGCTGCAACTTGTACCATATCCTCAGCTACATTACTCGCGAAAGACATGAAATTTATCGAGCCATCGGGGATATCAGGGTACCTGTCAAGACCCGGGTAACTCAATGGTGCAACATTTGTCTCGGTATTCATAGAATTCGTATTTAATTCATTCTGCGACGAATTTTCAGCAATACTATGAGCCTTAACCTCCAAGCATATCGGATACTTCGTGTAGTCAGCTTCTGTAGACCTCAAGAACATAATTCTTCGAAGGTGCAATCTTTTCGTTCCAAAACACCTGAAAGACGGAAGTTCACGTAATCGTTCATGATCCATTCACCACCGTGATGTATGAAAATCATCATGCTCGAATCCATCTACAAAGAAATTTTCGATGAAATTTTGGTTGATAAATTTTCGCAGCGATTTTCGATGAAATTTTCGCTCGACACACTCTCAATATATGTGCTGTGATTTTGGTTGATAAATCCGGTCGATCAGCGCTCGATATATGTGGAGCGATTTTGGGTGAAAAATCCCATCGATCCACTTTCAGTTTATGTGCATCGATTTGGGATCGTGAGCTCGTAAAATCACGGAAAATCCGATGGAGCGTTGGCGAGTCCTTTTTTTGAATCGTTCTGTATCTTCTATCGGTTACCATCGCGTAATTCTCGGCAATCAGATATGGAAGGGATGAAGTTACCCTGTAACTGAAGATTAGGTATTCGCGTAAATATATTTGGTCTATCAAGTATCTTCCAAATTATTTCTTTCCTAATGATAAATTTGATATTATTTGAATTTCACGTAGGAAGACTGAAAATTTCCCCAAGCTTAATGGCTAGGCTGTTGCTAGGTCCTAAAAAAAATTCATTGGCCCGATGGTTTTGAGCCCAACTGCTGAATTCCCTCCCAAATTCAAATTCAAATTTAAACTTCTTGAGCCGGTTTCAGGCCGGACGGTAGGACTTGGAATTTGCGGGTTTCTAGATTTTATATCCATTGTAGATTGACGACTCGAATTATGTTAACCCAAAACTGGTGGGTCGATGACAGATTTTTATTGTTTTTTGTTTTTACCAATGTTCTGAAAACTGAACCAGTCATCGAATCGGTGAAGCTACCGGTTCAATGGTTCATTGGTCGGACCAGTGATCGAACCGGTCGAACCGGTCTAATTAATATATAATTTTATTTATTTTATATGTATAATATGTAATTATATATATTTTTATCATTAATTTTATAGTGTATAGTTCAATAATAGATACAACCGACAATATTGAATAATTTTGATAACTTATTTTATTTTATTTTCTTATATATTAATTATATTTAAGTTAAAAAAATAAAGAATATGTTGTTATTTAATTTTTAAATAAGAATTTGAAAACAAATCATTCATTGAAATTGGAGTTAATTCCTTATCACATGTCCCATAATTTTCAACAATAAAACTACAATCTAAAATATATTAAAATATTATGAACAATTTAAAATGCAATCTAAAAAAAGTTGCAATCTAAATCACGATTTTTTTTCAATGCATTTGATTTAAAACAATTTTGCACTTCAAACTACATTTAGAGGCCCAAGTCCAAATTCAAAAACAAAGAAAGGTGAATTTAATAATTTATAGACCCAACTCCCAAGCCCAATACAAAGACATAAGGAGAAAATCGAGATAATTACCTGGTGAACGATCCTTAGGAAGTTTTTTTCCTTAAAAACGAAATAATTGTTTTTATTATCAAATTAAACTTTCCTGTCCACTTGAACGAGAGTTTGGTTTTATCATTTATTCATTCAATTTCTCTCTCTTTGTTTCCTCTCGCTTCTCTCTTTCTTTGCCTTCTCGCAGACACCATACACACTTCGCGTCCGATTGTGTGGTGCGGTCCAGCTATGGACGCGGCCAAATTGCCGCCGTCGTACTCGCTCAGGTCGAAGAAGTGAGAAGCGATTACCCACCCTATCGAATCTGAAGGTGCGGAGAACTCCCAGGACCGACCCGAATCCATTGGGAGTGAAAATGTCTGGGAAGCCGACGGATTCCCCGAGGCGGTTGCGCAATCTTTGCACGGCGATGTCGATCGAAGAAATCAGGGAGGCGTACATGGAGCTCCGGGGACGCAGATCCGACCCATGAGAAGATTTGATTTAGGGTTTAGCAAAATTTGATTTGTTGTTGTCGGATTTCCCCCGATGTTTTAGTGGCTGTGCTCTTTTGCCAACAAGGATCCAAAAACTTCCTTAAGCCACCGGTTAGAAGACGAAGAACGGTAATTGGTTGTGTATCAGAACAGATGAAACTCTTCTCGCTTCTGTTGCTTCCGGAGGCCTGGCCTTATGCTTGAAATTATTATTAATTTTTTTTTAAGTTTCATTTGATTGATCTTTAGATCTATAAGTTGCTGAGATTTAATTTTAATTTCTGCTCAATTTTTCTTTGGTATTTGAAACATTGACTTTGAAATTATTGATATGACTGGAAAATTTGGTCGGATCTTGAGTCCCGATGAGTTCAACGCAGATAACTTTTCTCAACTCTTTGGAGAATGAGGTGACTGTTAATTTTTTTGAAGATTGATTTTGATTATGGTTGTTAATTGGTTTTTTTTTTTTTTTNGATTTTTTTTTTATGATTTAGTAAAAAAATTAATAATAAACTTAAGATAATCAAGAGTTTCAAAATAGTTTTAAATAAATTTTTGAGGTAATAATGTGATAAATTTAAGATAAAATAAAATTAAGATAAACTTAAGATAAATTTAAATTTTTTCCGTCGATTTATTTTTTTTAATGATTTAGTAAAAATATTGATAATAAACTTAACATAATCAAGAGTTAAAATAATTTTAAATAACTTTTAGAGGTAATGTGATAAACTTAAGATAAACTTAAAACAATCTAAAAATATATACAGACGAAGAAGTGGTCTAGAATTGAAAGAGAAAAGGCAAGCAATCATTGAAAACAATCGGAATTGTTAAATGCTCGTTTTTTGGGAAAAAAAACTTTATCAGAACATTAGATACGTCTTTAGTTTTAAAAGGATCGTCTTTTGAAAAAAAAAGCATAGATACGTATTTAAGACGAGCAAATTCTAAGCTAAACTACTTAGTAGAAATTCCACATTGGAAAAAGAAAGAAGAAGACAATGCTATTTAATTGATAGCTTTTGCTACCATAAGCATGAAAGCAGCCATCCCAAGCCAACCGCTAAAGGTTGAAGTAAAAATAATAATAATCATAATAATAATAATAATAATAATAATAATAATAATAATAATAATAATAAATTTTGTTAGAGGGGAGTTGTTGTCTTTTCCAACTCACCCTATTTAATAAAAAGAGTTGTGTTTAGGTGTGAGTTGTAAGATGTCTTGTTGACTTGTTCCATACAACCTCATTGCATTAATATATATATGTATATATATATATATGTGTGTGTGTGTGTGTGTGTGTGTGTGTGTGTGTGTGTGTGTGTTGTGTTCATGAGATGATAACACATTAAATTTAAGCATATCTTCTCATATGCCAAGAAAAGCTCTTGGCTTCTTCAAAGAAAAATAATAATAATAAAAAAAAAGAAATCTCCTCTCAATTTAATTCCTTATATCAATTCAATTTCGGAAAATTTCTACTAGCGAAAAAATTGTTCTCGAAGTCGGAATCTAAAAGGTGGACTCGATTAGAGGGGAGACAGTTAGATCCCTTATGGTGAGACATACGAAGACGGTGATAGCCACATAACCGAAAATTAATTTCATCTCCGTTGTCGCTATTTGAAGAAAATTAAAGGTAATTTTCAAAATTCTCTACAAATCAAAATTCGTATTTTTACGTGATTTTAAAAGATGCCGATCGTAACAATTGCTATTTTAATCGAGGGGTTTAGTATTTATTAAACACCGGTCGAACCGGTCGGTCCGGTCCAGTTTTCAGAACATTGGTTTTTACTAGTTTTCACCAATAAATGTCCCTGTTTTTTACAAAATTTCTCATCTTTCCACTCTTATTCTAAAAATTCTAGCAATTTATAAGCACTGATAAGCTACTTTGTTAGCAATTTTTAAACAATAACTTTGATTATCAAACACTTGGCTATTTTTTAGTTTCATTCACATGTTTGTGTACAAATATTTTCACTCAAATTGGATTTTTTTGTTTAACTAGAATTAATTTGAAAAAAGATAGTATGATTAGTTGTTAGTGAATTTTGGATTTATATTAAAATAATATTTAAAATAAAATAATTAATGTTGATTTGATGTAAAAGTAGGAGAGACATGATATGAAGTGATGATTAGTAAAAATTATGTGAGTGGATGAATAGTGAAGACATGATGAGTAACACCGTCGGGCAGCGCAAAGTTTTTCCTCAGGACGTCAGATCGAGCTAAGGTGCGGTTGAAGGTACCTAACCACCACTCATGGTCGGGTGGCAAATTGGGATCGCCATGGAAGTCCTTAGGCACTTTGGGCATAGCATTCCATATGGACTCAACGTCGAGCTCCTCGAAGTCGTCCTCGGCTATCTGCGCGCCCGCCCTTTCTAGGGCAAACTGGAAGCAGTTAACACCGAACTCTTGCACCTTCTTTAAATATTGTGGTGACTGCACGAAGTCAACCACCACTTGATTGCGATGTTCATTGAGGAAGCGCTGCCCAACTTTGGTGTACCACACCATTTGGCGAGCTCGAAAGGCAACAAGGTCAGCCAGGCGTTTCTTCTCTCACTCGTGAACAGCCTTCTCTTGCGCTCGAGCGACCTTCTCCGCCTCTAAGCAGCTTTCTCTTGTGCCCGAGCGGCTTTCTCCGCCTCGAGCGTACCCTCGAGAGCATTTTTCTCCTCCCTAGACTTCAGTTTTTGGTCCTTCAGCATCTCACGAAGCTCGTGGCGACGGTGAGTGAGCCGATTGACATTTTCCTGAAGGACGCAGGCCCCCTTCTTGACCATGGGGATCGATTGGCCAGCGCTAGACATGGTCTGATTGACTAGAGGAACTAGCTCCGGCCAAACCCTGTTCTCGTCACAAGAAAAGGAAATTAATACCCAAGAAGCAACAAAGATAATATAATATAAGAAAACAGAGTAAAACAGAGAGGAAAAGTTAGAGATTACCTGCTCCAACCATCGGGTGAGGCGATACCCTCGCGTTTTTAGGTCTGAGCTGTCATTTTGGAGATCGACAGCAGGAACTGTGTCCTGAAAGTAGGACATTATCTCCTCCTCACTGGCCTTAACCAACGAAGGAAGGGAAGGCTGTGGACAACGGCGGTCTCCTCGACTCGGAGACTTTTATTGGTCCCCTCACTCTTTTTAGTGAGAGGACGCTTAAGTCGAGCCTCCTCGACCAACTGTGGGTTCGGGGAAGCAGATGACTCAACCACATGCATGGTCGAGTTGGCAGGGGGAGAGGTTGGTTGTCGATGTTCTTGGGGGGACGATTGCAGCTGTTCTTCAATTGGCAGGTTGGTCGAGGAAGAAAGAGGTTGCTCCTCGATAATTGGTTCTTGGATTGGCGTAGTATGGGTATCAACCTCCATGGAGGCGGTCGAGTGACCAGGTTGCAGTGTGGTCGACTCAGACGGCTGAGAGCTAGAGGCCTGTGTGGGTTTTTTCTTCAGAGGAACTCTCGTCTTGGATAGTGGAATAGCGGGCATCTCTGCAAGGAAATCACAAAAATAAGTTAGCATTGCAACAAACAATTTAGACACGAATACGAGCACGACAATAGTCGAGCACAATGATCGAGAACTACATGGATCGCCCTCTACTCGAATAGAGTTCAAGAATTCTTGGGTCGGAGGAGACAAGGACTTATGGCTAAGGAGGCCACAAAAGTGTAAAAGATTATCGTTTCTGAGAAGAGTGTTCGAAGTAACGGGTTTGGAGTTCCAGATGGTGATGCGCTAGTCGAATAGAGGATCAGGGTAAGGAGTCTCAAACTCAAAAGGAAGTTCGGTACGCAAGGGTGTAGAAGACCAAGGCCAGTCAGCTCGAGGTTTTACATAAATGAATTGTTGTTTCCACTTTGGGCAGTTCGAGGAAACATCAGAGATAAAGTGGGCACCATTTCTACTTAAGTAGAGCCCATTGGCTTGTTTGTAGGAAAGATAGCAGTAAGAGAAAAAATCTAGGTCGAATCAACCTAGACGAATGTGGGAAAGGATGAGAAAGGTAGTTATGAAACGATGGAGTTGGGTGAAAGTTGACTCAATGGAAGACCGAACTGTCACACCCCGCCTTACTAGCTTTGAAAAAATCAGAGTAAAATTTTTGTTTTTATTTTCAAAAGAATGTGCGAGCTGGGTTTTCGAAAATACTGACTTATTGCGGGATGTGGCAGATAAAAACTTAAACTGAACTCGGGCTTGCCCGCAGACATAATAAAAACATGCAACCAGACTATCCGCTCGCGGATTATGGAATTATACATGCATAGTCTGTACTGTCTCGCACTGTCTAGAAAACTCGCTGGCGGAAGCATCCGAAATACGAATACATAACATGCGTACATAAACTGAATAAAATACACATGATCATAAATCTAGGACATAAAAATGCTGGTAAAATATGTCCGACTCTCATGACCACGCTGCGCCACATCTGTGCTCATCCGGCACGCTCGACTCCGCCTCCTGAAAAACACAATGGGGGCGTGAGCAAACCACTATGCTCCGCAAAGACCAGTACTGAACAAAACATCATCTATAATAACGTCTCATGAAACATAAATATATAAGAGCTGAAACTGTAAACTGATCTCTGATGTCTGTTCTGATCTGTGGTCAAAAGACCCTCGGCCTTAGCCGCTCGTGTGCACACGCCGATGGAGTAGAAAGGGCCTCGCCCCTCCCAACGGTCATCAGGTGGGTATAAAGGCCTCGGCCACCCAACCCGAAACTAAACTGTCTCAAACATACCTCTGCCATGGTACAGATATTATCTATGATGTGACATCCAGTACATGACCCCCACCTGAAAAACTTGAAATCTGGTATGCAAGTGCGGAAGCTGGAGTAGCGGTCGGAGGCTCGACTCTCCTTAGGCTACATAAATATTTAAGCAAAATAATGCTAAGTATAATGCTCAGAGTATTTAATTATATGCTAAAATGCTTGGACTTATCTACGCAATTA